GTTTTCTTGCATTGAGAATTTGAAGATGCATAGCAAGGCCTGGAGTTTGGGTGAAGACTTTTCCACATGGATTAAATCTGGAAAGTTCCTGTCCAGTAGCGGCTCTCTTGTACACAGTGAGGACGTCTTTTCTATAACAATTATACTCAGAAGTGTTCCCTCCATTCTGAGCTCTCATGTGTGTCTTAAGGAAAAACCATTCTCTAAAGACCTCTCCACAGAGTTCCATAACCTGTAGCTTCCTTCCATTTGTGGCCCACTGAATATTTCATTCTTCAGAAAACCCTGCTGAAGTGATGACCCTTTGGTTCTGGGTTGTATTTCCCATTGTTGAAGAACTCCACTCTGTACTGTCTTCAATTCTTCTTGTTTTCACCAAGAGGTCAGGCTAGGTATAAACAGCTGACAGCCCACAGAGACCGGTTCTTGTAGGTCTCCAGCATTGCATCTCTGGACAGGTATTTCTGAGTTGTGTCCAGTAAAGCCCCCTCCTCTGGGGTGAACTGCACAGTCACATCATCAAAGGTCACTGAACCCTGTTAACCATTTGCCACCACCATTTCTACCTTTGTCTTTTCTTCAAAACTGCAGATTGGTTCCCTGGAAAAAAACCCATGGGACAAATCAATGGCTGCCATCCTCTGAAGCTGATGGTAAGATGTATCCCAATGCTCTCTCTTCCTTGATGCCAAGATTACCTCAAGGCAGCTTACGAATCTAGGTGGATAGAGGCAATTTCCATTCCTCTTTGTAAGGGGCTATTTGTGGTCCACAGCAGAAGTGGACTCCACCACGGTAAAGGTGAAATGGACAATATCTTCTGTTTTTAAGACATTTAAAGCATCTTTTTGTTTGTGAGATGAATTTTCACTCTGTTGCCCAGATTGTAGTGCAGTGGTGTGAATTTGGCTCACTGCAACCTTTGCCTCACAGGTTCAAGTGATTCTTCTGCTCAGCCTCCCAGGTAGCTGGGCCTACACTACACCTGGCCAATTTTTGGAGTTTTTTAGTAAACACAGGGTTTCACCATGTTGGCCAGCCTTGTCTCAAACTCCTGATCTCAAGTTATTCTCCCACCTCAGCCTCCCAAAGTGCTGGGATTATAGGTATGAGCCACTGCATCTGGCCCACTTAAAGTATCTTTAATAAACAAAATTACTTCTCATAGCACTTATTCATAGTACCAGTTTGCAGAAGCTAAGTGATTTGCTCAAGATCATACATGCAGTAAGTAGCAAGACAAGACTTCAGGTTTGTCTAATTTTAAGACAGTTGTTCTTTCTGCTATATCTAGGCTGGCTCTTCAATCAAATATCAGCAAAGATAAAGCAAAATAATCTGGGTGATTGTTTTCAGGAATTTCTGTGGTAGATTAAGTAAATTAGATCCTTTCAGGATGCTTTGCTTTTAGTATTATTTCTAAGAGACAGTCAAATCTCACTATTCTTTATGCTCCCAGATTTCAGTATTTGCTTCAGCTTCAATTCTACTCAACATGCTTTACAGAGAGCCTTTTATTCTCTTCTATAAATGGTACCATTTATAGCACAAGAGGTTAATAATACAATGATGATTAAGACACAGTGTAGTTTGGAGGTCCTCATAGTCCACTAATATGTCCATATTCAGACTATGTGATCTGGGAAATACAAAAGATTCTACACATCCCTTTGCTTGGTTTGTTCCTTAGTCCATTCCTTTGTTGACTGACTTATTCCATATTTACTAAGCAGAGATGAGTAAGACATACATTCTGCATGCTCTCTAGAGTTCCTGGTCCAATGAGAAAGACAAATATGAAAATGGACAGTTTATAATAAAACTTGGTGAATGCAGTTACAGAGATAAAAAAATAAAATGCTCAAAGAGGCAAAAGAACTGAGAACTAACTCCACGTGGGGAAAGCAATACAGGCTCTCCTTAAGAGAGGGGGGTCTGAAAATATGACACTTCATTAAAATATTAGGCCATCAGCTCATTTAAGGCACGTTTCATATACTCCTTACTGTCCTCCAAACAGTAAGTTGTCATTATTTGTATGTTGGGAGATCAAAGTACAGGCAGATTTTGCCAAGTGCTTGACTATGGACTGAAGGTGTCACAAACTTCAGTGATTGCTTCTAGTGATAGCAATTTTTGCTATCAGTCTTCTACTGGCTCCCAAAAAGATATGTCCATGTCTGAACCCTCATAACCTGCGAATGCAACATTATTTGAAACAAAAAAAAAAGGTCACTGCAGTTGTAAAGACCCTGCAATGAGATCATCCTGGATTATATGGGTGCCCTTATTATTATAGGGGTGCCCTTTTCATCCAATGAAACGTGCCCTTTTAAGAGACAGAAAAGAAGACACGGACACAGAATAAAGGCCACGAGAAGACAGAAGCAGAGATAGCAGTGGCTTGCTCACAAGAAATGCTGACAGCCACCAGAAGCTGGAAGAGGCAAGAGAAAGTTTTTTCCCCCTAGAACTTCCAGAGGGAGTGTGGCCTTGCTGACACCTTGATTTCAAACTCTGGCTTCCAGAGCTGTGAAAGAATAAATTTCTGTTGGTTTAAGCCACCCAGTATGTGGTAATTTGTTCCAGCAGCCACAGGAAACTAATACAAGATCTAGTATGTTTCTCTAGTAGCAACAATGTCAGGAAGCCCTTACTAAGAGTTTAAGTAATTTAACTCTGCGTACCACAAAAAGAGAATTAGATGAACTAAGTGCCACTCCTCAGGAAGATTCCACAGAAAGTCATGGAAATGCTAAGGTGGATGGCAGTACAGCAAGTCTTTGTAGTGAGACAAATTTGCATTTGGCTGCCTATTCTACCACTTATCAAGAATACAAACTGGAAAATTTGAGAAGCCTAAGTTTCAGTATTCTGATCGGCAAAATGAGAACTGCTGTAAGTATTAAATAAAATAAAGCACTTAGAGCTTTTAGCATTATGGCTGGCTCACAGCAAGCACTATATCAGATATTGTTATCATTGTGGATACAAACAAGTACATGCACACAGCTGAACACACTGATCAGATAAACAAAGAAGGAAGTTCAACTACAGTCAATTATGAATTTTTTGCATTGGTCCTATATCGAGCCCAATTTCAAATCCTCAGTTATCTTATCTTCTTCCTCACTCCTAAGGCACCCACCCCTGCTATCATCAAAAACAGTCAACAATTTTGAGATTCTATTACTTGCAGTGTCCTATTTTTCCCACTAAAGGTTGGAAAATGTACTAATACTTTTTTAAAGTATATCAAAATTATTTAGCCCAGAGCTTTACATGCTTCTCTCCTTTTAACCTGGAAATATATGTTTCTTCTTTCTTAACCACTTATCTCTGAGGACAATGTGTCCTTCCATCTTTCTCACTAAGCACCAATTCCAGCACTGGTGTTCACATCTGATCACCCCTCCTTATTATATTAGCAACCTCACCACTCATATACTCAACCATTCCCTCTCCAATAATTTCTTCTTCTCTACACTCACAAATACCTTCCTTCAGCTTTGCTACCCCACATGCTCTCAGTTCATCTCCTCCTTGATGTTCTGGCTTCCCCTCAGCTCAACCTGTCCCAAATTAAACTTACCATCCATTCTACCACCCAACCCAAATCAGGGTTAAAACCCAACCCAAATGAAACTAAACTCCTTTAGTTTAAAGGAGTTTGGGTTGGACAAGTGTTAAAGTTAGTTTAACACTTGTCCCTAAAACTTTTACATAGCTGGTTCCTTCTGACATTGGGTTCTCACCTAGACTCCCCTTTGTAGAGATGCCTCCTCCCATGGCCATATCAAAAGCATCTTCCTCCTAAGTCACTCTCTAGCTAAGGTCCACTTTCACTGTCTTCACAGAACTTCTTACTACCCAAAATTAATCTTATGTGTTTTCTGGTTTATTGTCTAATCCACTCTTTTTGAGCTATTCAAAGGAGAGACCTTGTCTGTCTAGTACAAAATACTGTTCCGTAAACATATTTTGATGAATGACTTTCCTGGATTTCTGTTTTCTTCCACACAACCACAGCTCTTGCTTAGCCCCACAGCCTGAAAAAGATAAATATTTGGAGGGAAAAAATAGCTTGGACCACAGCTTCCCAACTGGCCTCCCCGCTATCTCTTCCTCAGCAAGTTCATCTTACATCCTAATTGCTATTCCAAATCATAGCTCTCATCCTGTCAATTCTTAAAAATTCTTTGATGACTAATCACTGGCTACAAAATAAGGTGCAAACTCCTTATCTAAGCATTCAGTACCCTCCTCTGGTTCCACCCTACTTTTTAAAAAATTAAATGCTTTTTTAAAAAATATGTTTTTTGAAATATAGACCCCGAAGTTTACAAAAAAATGTACAGAAAGTCCCATGCACCCTTCTCTCAGTTCCCCACAATTTTAACATTTTATACAACTTGTACAATATCAAAATAGGACTACCTGTGCTCTTTCCTCTTCCTCTCCAGTTTCTAATCCTCTTATCATATGCATATTTACTATTAAAAGCTACCTCAAGTCGTTTTTTAAAAGTGGATGAAGAAATAATATAGAGATGAATGAATGGAGGGAAAAAAACAAATGACATGTTAAAGTATTTCATCAATCCTGTCCCAATCAAATATAATCCCTCTTTCCTATATACCTACACTTAATTGCTGAACTTCTCTTATAAAACCTATGTTCTGGGCCGGGCGCGGTGGCTCTAGCCTGTAATGCCAGCACTTTGGGAGGCCGAGACGGGTGGATCACGAGGTCAAAAGATCGGGACCATCCTGGTCAACATGGTGAAACCCTGTCTCTGCTAAAAATACAAAAAATTAGCTGGGCATGGTGGCACGTGCCAGTAATCTCAGCTACTCAGGAGGCTGAGGCAGGAGAATCGCCTGAACTCAGGAGGCGGAGGTTGCAATGAGCCGAGATTGCACCATTGCACTCCAGCCTGGGTAACAAGTGCGAAACTCTGTCTCAAAAAAAAAAACAAACCTATGTTCTGCCACAGACTCACAAATGCCTACTTTCTTTATATGTCCATTAAAACAGTAAATCCCTAGAGACAAATATAATTTCTTATTAATTTTATATCCACTCAAGCAGCAAGCACATAGTGCTTCTATTAGAGCAGGATCTCAAGTAATATAGAATCTTCATTGTGAATGAATGAATGAATTAAATATCTCTGCCCCAACAGTTGGGGGATGCTTCCTAATGGAGGTTATGTTTGAGGAAAACCTTGAACACATCAATGGAATTCAAAAAGGCAGAAGAGGGAATCCTTTTTTTTGGTAGCCATTATTTAAAGAACAACATATATATTGGTCTCATCCTTTGTAGCTGCTGGATAATATTCCATAGTACAGATGCACCACAATTTATTTAACCATTTTTCTATTGGTGGATATTTCAGTTTGTAACAGTTAGGATAAAGTTTGGGTTCATGTTACCAAGGACCCAAACAAGAATATCATAAACACAAGATACTTTCTCTCTTGTGTGAAAGAAGGAGACAATTCAGGGTTTGATATGTGGACTTCATGGTCTTCAGGCACCAAGCTCTATTTTTCAGCTCCAGTGTCCTAGCATGTGACTTCTATCTCCAAAGTTGCTCCATGACCTCATCCAACACAGGCAAACTGGAAAAAAAGAGAATGAAATGACCCAGCTAAGCCAGGTCCCTTTATGTAGCCTTCCAGAAATTTCATACAATACTTCCATTTCCATTTTCGTGGCCAGAAGTTAATGATATACCCATGCTCAGCTGCAGGGGAAGCTGAAAAAGGTGGTCTTTTACATAAGTGCATTGTTGTCCCAAATAAAGTTAAGATTTTATTTTACCTTAATCTTAATTTTATAATCTTTGTAACTGAACAAAGAATAATGGGTACTGGATAATAAATACTGGATAACAACCAGGAATGAAAAGGCAAAACTGACATCTTGCCCTACCAATTAAGAGCAAGTAGGTACATCATCTCTTACAGTAAGGGGAAAAAAAGCATTCCATCTAGTTCTAGTACTTAAAAATAGAAGAAATCTTGACACTGACTCCCTAACAAATCAAACTTTATTCCTGAATTTTGCAGTATGCTGATGATAATCATGTCTGATTTTCCACCATGAACAGACTAACTATAAACTGGTTACACTGGGCTTTTTCTTCAATTAACTGTTTTTGTTGTTGTTGTTTCTTGTTTTTTGTGTCTGTTTTGTTTTGTTTTTTTGAGATGTAGTCTCACTCTGTCACTCAGGCTGAAGTGCCTGGTGCAATCTTGACTCACTGCAACCTCCACCTCCTGGGTTCAAGCGATTCTCCTCCCTCAGCCTCCAGAGTAGCTGGGACCACGGGTTCACACCACCACACCCAGCTAACTTTAGTAATTTTTTAGTAGAGATGGGGTTTCACCATGTTGACCAGGATGGTCTCGATCTCTTGACCTCGTGATCCACCCACCTCAGCCTCCCAAAGTTCTGGGATTACAGGCATGAGCCACCACGCAGGTAACTTGTATTTTTTAATGAGCAAGGTAGTCCTTCAGAATATGGAGGTGGAAGGCAGCTAGGACTCGAAAGCAGCTTTACCAACTTCAGCCACTGGAGTCTCCTCTTCTTCGTTCACCCTTTTAAATTCCTGCTACTTTGTCAGGTGCGAAAATTATCTCTGAAATAATAGGGAATGAATAAATGAATAACACTGAGCCTTCTATCCTGTTTCATCCTCTCCACAGCTGCCCAGCTAATACTAAAACTGTGTGTGGGGAATGAGAGAATGTTCCCCTACTTTTGTCGGTTGGACCCGTCAGAGTTCCTCTCTTTCCTTTCCCTTATGCTAAGACCAGAGCCCACTATACAATTTGTGGGGCCCTGTGCAAAATGAAAATGTGGGGCCCCTTGTTCAAAATGTGTAAGCATTTCAGGAGGTGACAGCACAGCATTAAAGGAAGCACGGGACTCTTCTAAGGCAGGTCAAACGCACTGATCCTATGCCTGTGAAGCAGCATCTAGCTAAGATATATTTTTCCTAACATCAGTTTCTGGCTTCACAGATTCACAGCCCTGCTCTGATGAAGAAGGCTGCTCGGAAGTGTTCCTTCCCACCGACAGTGACTACGACTCCAGCGATGCCCTGAGCCCCCGAGACCTGGACCTGGTCTACCTGTCATCACATGACATTGCGCAGCAGACCCTTAGCGGCCTAAGCGGCAGCGCCCCCGACGTCCTACAAGTGCACGACGGGAAGAGCCCACTGGGGCCGGGCCAGGATCCCCAGGGCCAGGGCCCAAATCCCGACCACTCATGTGCCGAGTTCCTCCACAGTCTGACCCTCACGGGCCTCACGCCCAAGAACCACGCCAAGAAGGTGTCTGGAGCGCGGCCACCGCTAGGCTTCCTGGGAAAGCGGAAGTCCGGCAAGCACCCCCACTACGGCGGCTTCAGCCGCCATCATGGCTGGCTGCGCATGCACAGTGAGACCCAGTCGCTATCGCTCTCAGAGGGCATTTACACACAGCACCTGTCCCGAGCCTGTGGTCCGGCCCACGAGCCCGAGGAGGCCGAGCGGCCCGGACCTGCCCTTGATGGTCCCAGGGGCCTAACTCTGGCCCATGCTGCCAGCCTTCCTGAGGAGCGGAACAGCAGTCTCCAGGACGCGAGGCCTTCGGTGCACCGCATCTACGTGGAGCCCTACGCAGCAGCCCTGGTGGCCCAGGACGAAAACCCGTGGGCCAGCTTGAGCCCGCCCTCTGGAGGCCGCAGTGCCCTGCCCAGCCCCACTGGCCCCGATGTGAGCCAGGAGAACCCCACCGCCTCCTCCGTCTCAGAAATACTCAGCAGCATGCTTTAGGGAGGCCCGCACAGCCTGTCCCCCCTTCCATCGCTACTACCTGCGTTTTACATCACCCTTAACCCCATCCTGCCCCACCGTGTCCCCACTCATTTTCAAGCGTTTTGAATGTTATAAATCCAAAGGTTACAAGTTCAAGGTCCTCTTTTTTTGGAATAGAGTGGGGCATGGAGGCCAGAGTTGCCAATGCCATTCCCAATTCAGCCTAGAAAGGGCTTGGAGGAGCTGTTGTGTCAACGTGGAGTAAGACATGCAGTGGCTCAAACATGCCACCATGTTGGTAGCACCTATGCCTAAAGTTGGCCATCCCAGAGAAGCCCTCAGTTCTGCAACTGGTTCCGTAATCTGACCCTGCATTTAGAGCTCTTTTATGAATTTGTGATTGATGAAGAGAAGTTCTACAGATGAAAATAAGATTAGCATCGTTTCTCCCTCCATTCCAAACCTTAAGAGTTTGAGGGAAAGACACCCAGGTTGTGTCTCTAGGACACAAGGGGACTTGACCTAGGTTTCCTGTCAGCTAAACTATGTCATCCCAAAGGACAGAGTTCTCAGGACTCACCTTATCCGGTTTATCCATCAGCACTTACCTGATTAAATAGGCCTTGACAGGCCTTTTTTTTTCTTCGCGTATTGCTGGGTGGAGACCACCAGGAACAAAAGTAGGGAATACTTCTCTTTCAACTCTTACAAAGACAGAATAGGACAGGAAGTAGCCCTTCCTGTATACTAAGATCCCATCCAAGCATGAAAATGAGCCATAGATTGTTACAGGGATCAAGGAGATGGTTAAGCAGAAGGAAAGCCTGAGTTACAGATAAGACAGGGGAGGGAGAGAGACGTGGGCAGAAATATATTTCCTTTACAATTCCAAGTTAAGCAAAGTAGGGCCGTGGGGGCTGTGTCTGTGAAAATCATAGTGGATGAGCTTTGGTGATGAAATTGTCATTTAACAAGAAAGTGCCTGCAGATGTGGCCAGTCAGCAATGGGCTTCTCACAACCCCACAGGCATATCCACTCACCCTCCATCATAGATCAAGGGACAGATTGTCCAGGGCTAGGGTGGCTGCCTTCCCCTTTCAACCTACCTCTCCTTAAGTCAAATTTGCCCCAAAATCATCTGGCCCAGTTGGCCTCAGGGAAAATATGCCCAGAAGCCTCTACCAATGGTTCATTCCAACGTTGTGCTAAAAACACCTGGAAATTTTGCTTTGGTCTCATTACCTCCTACCTGAATTTCTCACAAACAAGGGTCCAAATTAGACAAATCACACTACATATTCAGAAAGAGCACGAGCCTCCTCAGCTCCTGGAGCCAAGACCCATTCACTTCACTGACATTCTAAATGATCCTTTTCTGCTTCACAGGCATTTCAGTTAAATATTGCTCTTTATGGCCTTATCCTTGTCCACAGAGTTCTACCATTCCTCCTCATGGGAGTTCATACAAAGTCCCCTGTTCACAATGTTATTCTGATCCCTTCCATTTTAAAAACATTTGATTTAAACATAAATAATTACCCTGCTGGAAAGGGACAGATTTGGCCCATGGCCTATGGTCATTAGAAAACTAAAGCCCAGAGCTCAGTCTTTATTTTTTTAAGAGATTTTATACTCAATGAAACCCCCAAAGAATCTTGATCAGAATCACTATAGCTCCTTTTTCATGTCTGGGAGGATTTTAAAATGCAGTTTTCTTCTGTCTAAGTGAATTCTATGTGCATGGAAAGGGAGAGTTTTAGAACTAGAAGAGCCCATAAAATTCATCTAAGTCCTTAGGTTTACAGGTAGGGCAATTAAGACCCAGAGAGGTTAAGTGGCTTGCTCAAGGTCATGGAGCTGCTTTAGTCTCAGAGTTAGGGTCAGAACCAGAATCGTTCCCTTGATAGCAGACCATCCTATTGGGAATTGGTACATACCTAGTTAACTCGATTGTCTACAGGTAATCTTCTATTTGGCAGGTCATCTACCTACTTCTGATTTCAAATTCAAATCCTTTGTTCAACCTTTACCTAACAAGTTTCCAATATTACAGAGCTCCTTGTTGATGGGGAGTACAAACTTCATGTAAGAGCTAAGTTAATTAATTAAAAAGCAAATTTGGGGAAAACATAATTTCAAATTATGCCTCTTAGTTAATAACAAGAATGGCAGAGTCATTTGTGCTCCGTTTCTACTTATTTCTAATTATAAAATGGATTGGTTTGTTCAATGAATTTGTGAGATGAGATTCTAGAATTGTGAAGAACTAAAAATCCAAGGTGTTTCCTGATCCTTATGATTCTGGTGACATAGGAGGAAGTTTGTGACCGAATCAGGTGGGAGGCATTCAACAAACAGCAAAGGCAGAAACTGACCCACCCTTCTGACCCCTCATTTGGTCAGTAAGCTCTGGCATATTGGACCAAAATTGCATTAATTTTTAACCTGCTATTTTATATTGGGGGCATAAGGTTATTTTTTTATCTTCTGTGAGGAAAGAAGGCATGCCCACAAAAAGAATAACACATGCTACATTTTAATGGGCATACTTAAGTCAATTGAAAATGCAGTTTCTTAGCAATATTCCTAAATAAAACTGGGTATGTTATAGCTTCAATAATTAGTTATTATTCAGGAAGGTTTCCCCATATCTCCACTTTGCAATATTTTGTGAGCCCAGTTCATATCAATACATTCTTGTGAGATATAACTGTGTTCTCTAATTTACAGTCCTTTATTCATTTAGCTGATCTTCTACTTATAGAGATTTTACAACGTCTGAGGATGTTTTGTTGTATTTTATCATTTTTGTTTGGTTTAATTTTGGATGCAATGGATTTTTGTCTTTCATTCTTTTTGAATCCAATATGAGAACCTCTGAAGGAAACTGGTCCCAGGTCTTCTTTTCAGGGGTTTTTCTAACATGCTTGATCAGCTTTCATCATTTGTGAAAATCCTCAAAAATCCCTGACTAAAGTTCTTCCATACGTCTATCTCAATTCTAAGTCCCATTTATACCCAAAGAATCAAGTGTGAAACATAGTCCCAGGACACAAGAAGCTGACAGTATGATCTAAGAATGTAGCCATACGTTCACTATACATCTTCTCAACCACGTCTTAGAAGAGGCAGGAGCCTGTCTCCTCAGCCAAGCAGGCATAGTGCATGTTGGGCTACATCTTCGATTTCTTCTTGCTATATAGACTCTTGAGGGAGTACAACCTGGAAAATGCAAGTCATAGGTGTATAGGTTTGGCAACCACTTAACAAAGCTAAAACATCCTCTTAATTGGTGAGAGTGCCTGGGAGACAGTAATTAAAAACATTCACTCCAGGGAATGAGTATTTTAAGAAGTAGGTACTTAAAGATGAGAGCCATTCCCTTTAAAGAACATTCACTAATGCTTGAAGCAATAGTTACACTGGAGAAAATAGTTTCATTTGGTTTGAAAATTGAAGCCAGTTAATAATACTTCACCAGTCCTCTTTCCTGAAGGATCCCAAAGCACTTTATGAAAAGCAATGACTGAAGCCTTGTTGTACTCCCCTAAAGAAACCTTGTCCAGGAACCACCTGGCAAGCACCTACCCTGTCCTTGCCAGGAGATCATGCCAGGCAAGTGGAATGGAGGACTGGTCCCTCATTCATTGTTATCCTGCCACACAAATGTGCACCCTGGTGAGATTTCAGCTCTTCCCTTGAAGATAACTCTGTTAGGCAAAAAGGCATCCCAGAAAAATACCAACTCCTTGGCCTCCTCTGGTTCTTCATCCTCCACCCAAGATGTAGTTACTTAACTGTTAAGTTAGTTCTCCAAGGGAAGGTGTGTCTGAAGCACATGTAAATTCCCTTGTTATATCAACAAGACACAGAATTCACTGGCTTCTGGAAATGTACACGTTGGGTGGAAGGAAGGTGATGGCATTTTTCTACAGCTCTCTCAACTTTGTATGTAGCAGAGCTACAGCGAAGAGTGTGTATCTCTTGGTATATGTGCCTATTAAGCTATCACATACAAATTAAAGAAGGTAGCTATAGATTAAAGGAACACTCTCCGAGAATTCAAACTTTTGCATGTTCACTTTATAAAGTCTAAATATTTTTCCAGATGATTTAATGAAGCAAAACTGGACTTCTTCCTTCAAGGTCATATCTTTAAGGACATTTTTTAAATAGCTATTTGGAAAAGCAGTGGTTATCTCTTCATAGGTAGTAGGGTGAGCAAGGGAAAAGAAACTGTTTTATTTGCTGGTCACCTCTCATAAGATCTTCAAACACGTGGCTTATGACTGTTACGCTAAACTTCAATGCGGCCTTACAAACAACAAGGGTAGTGTATTTGAAACCATGTTGTACAGCTTGGAAACTTATTCTGAGATCTTAATTCAGAGTTTTTCTGAGGTGTTGAACTTTGCCATTAGCAAAAATTATTTTTAGAAAAATCCATTGACTGTTTATGAAGCACTGATTTCGCCATATTTCGGGTCTCTGCTTTTTCCACCATATCTGCATACAGTAGTTATATTTGTTTTTTCAATTATTTCTTCTATTTCCACTAATAACCACTTTTTAAAATGGTTATTCAAAAGGATGGTTGGTTTTGTTTAACAATTGGATAAGTGGGCTGTGAAAAATATTCTATCGTGATAAAGGAAGTAGGAGATTTGTTGTTTTAAATATTATCCTAAAGTCTTTTCCTACAGATATACACATATGTTTATTTTAGCAAAAGCCAAAATTTTACGTAGTGGCAAAGGTTATAAAGCTATTAGTTAAGGCTCTTTCCTCCTCTTCCTGCAGTCCATGACATGAAAGTCTGAATATACTTTCACAGTATTCACCATCCAGTGACTGATTTACAAAAGCTAAGTCTGGCAAATTATTGTAAGTTGCTCGGAGTTGCTGTGTTGCCTCTTGCCTTGTGAAAATCATATATTTGGGGATGACCCATGTATGTAGCCATAAGCACCAGTTTGATGTTTGTGATTTAAAAAGGGGGGGGTTGTGTGTGTATGTGTGTGTGCACACACGTGCGTGCGTATGTGGTGGCAGAGAGATATTTCATAGAAAAAGTAATTTAAGTGACATTCTTGTTTGGCAGTATTTAATTGCTTCCTTCCTAATGTGTACATAGCAATCTGGCTGATTATTGGTTGATATTTGTTCAGAATTTATTGTATCTTGTTGCTATGTATGCAACTGAGTGTATGTTAAAGTTTAGACTTCAGTACACTATCTACACAATTTTGTGTGCTTTAAACCTCTGTAAATATGCAGATGAATCATGTATGGTGTGTTAAATGTGACTTCCACTCTTGAAACAATAATATTTTATAGTATGTACATTGAAAACTATTTGAACAATTTAAATGTATATTGTAAAGTTCAAGTATCCTCAATCAAAAACAGCACTGGTAAAATGTATGCCTCTTCAACCTACCAATTTATAAGAGGTCAGGGATTAATGAGAATCAAGGTAATTTTTCTAATGGCAAGACTTTTGGTAATTTCTTACCTGCCTAAGTTTATTTTCAAGAAAAATTGTCAACAGAAGAAATCTAAGCTATTGGAGGGAAGGACTTTATTTCATAAGCATTAATTATACTTTATGTCTTACCTAATATTGCTGAAATCTAAGTCAAGCATGAAGTCAAAAAATAATTTTGTTTCTTCATTAGATTTTTTTGCTGCTTAAGGGACAGTTTCCAAGCCCATTTGTCTTAAGTGTGGAAATATGTCAATTCAATAATAAACAAATAGAATTTTTAATACTTGGCTTACCTAATGCTTTTCCATGTCTCAGTAAAGACACAAATTTTTCAGCCTGAGCATTTAAAATCTTCTCACTGAAACTTTGGGAGAGCTGTCATTTGTGGCATTGTTTTGACAATTGTCACCAAAGTCTGATCAGTTGACTCTTGATTAATCAGTAGCATTCAGGTTATTTCTCTTTCATAATTGGTTATTGCCAAGTATTGAAAATACAACAGCAGGTTGCCATAGCAAATGCTCTCACCAAGTCGCACCCAGGAGCTTGGCCATTATAATCTTGCTTCTTCCTCCAATGCATGCACATTTAAATGTCTTCAGTGCGTTGCTGCATGTGCTGTCCCATCTCAATTTCTCCATTCCTTCTATTTCCCCACCCATGAAGCTCCATCTACCCTAACTCTCACTGGCTGCAATTTGATATTTATTCTGTGTTTGAGAACACTACAAAGCGATTGCTTCTGCCCTAAGAAACCTGTACACAGTTTCCCCTGAATTCCCAAGGATGGGAAATGTGCTACTTTGGACCATGTATTTGTCTTATTCTGTTTTACAGAATTCTTTTATACACACACGAGTTCAACTCTTTATTGGCATGTTTGTGGTCGGCTTTCTTGACAGCTTCAGAGGGCTGTTTTGTTGTCCTGGCCAAATATGCTGTTTTCCCTATGTACATTGTCATCTTTCTAAGCAAACCATTACTTTATTTTCCTAATTCTTTCTCTAAATAAAAGTTTACCTTCTTTTTCAAACCAAACAAATGACATTCTTCTCTAATATTCCCTGTCTTCTATGAGCATTCTTGGGGTGGTACTAGAGGGGAGATAGAATGAGGTGAAGAGTAAGAGGAGGCTTTTCCAATGTAATCTGCTAAGTAAGAAGTATGCCTTCAGTGAATGTCTAATCCTTTTGATAAGTTATGCCAAGCAATATGCAGTATTTCCATCTGCCAACAAGAAAGCATTCCTTCTTCTCCATAATAAAAAGAAATCATTTTAGGGAATTAGGCAAGTTTAAACCAAGAGTTTCTTATCAGAGTGACTCCTAGGCAGAAGAAAAACATTAATAAGGAAATTATCTGACCTGATATTATCATATCAAGCAAATTAGATCTTTGCAATGATTCTTTGATTATGCAAATGCATTTCCTCTTCAGGTAGCATGTGCCATTATCACCTTTACATGATGCTCCTTTTTCTAGTTCCTGTCAGTGGTTGCCTTAAGATATTGTGCCAAAGAAAATACTAATGTTAGATATTGACTACGGGAATCCAGGCATCAGTTCCCTACTAGACTAGATCAGATGCTCTAAGTGAAAAGCAACTGGCTGATTTGTTACCCATCACCCCACCCCAGCACATTTTATAGCACCTGACATAAATATCTATTAAATGAGTGATAAACCGATGACCACCAGAAATTATGGAGAGAGCACTTAAATTCAGGTTAAATTCCATACCTTGCTAAATTTCTCCATAAGAAATGGACATGAAGACCTTTTAACGTGCGTACCAACCTGCAACTTCTAAAATGGCTCAGGTGAAGCTCAGTTTGTCCCCTCAGGGTACCTTGAAAGTATTTCTTTAGGATTTCCTGAAAAGTTCCACCACCTAACCCACACATCACCTCCAGAGTACCTTGATTGGATGGGAATGTACTGTCTACTCTGGAGCTGGCTCACCTCCAGATGGCTAGCAGTTTTCTGAGTGTCATGATACCTGTCCCATTGATTGGGTACCACTGGATTGACATGCAGATCAATCAGCCTAGGTGCACCCACTGAATACCCAGAAAACCTGCAAAAGTCTCATGCTCATGCCCAGTAAGGCTGCTTTTCCATGTACCATTTTCCTCATCAAGCTTTAATAACTGCAGTCTCCTACATGTTTAGAAAACACTTTTCACAAGACCATCCTATTTGAGTTTGACAAACAGCCCTGTGAGGTTATCAGAACAAGAACTTGTATCTGCACTTTAGAAATAAGGAGAGTGAGGCTCAGTAGAGTGAAAACTGGGGACCAGGACTCCTAACTTTTCAGAGTGTCATGCGCCATTGAGTTAGGTCCTTTGAGAAGAGAGAAAAGAAAAAGGCCACTGGAAGCTGTCTCTGTGGAAGACACCCTGCACAACCAGACATGCAAGGGACATTTATAGAGACACAGATAAAGATGGCAAATGAAGCCAAACAAGACAACAAAGCACGGAAGCCCGTTCCCCCAAGGCCCAGGTTCTAGCTCCGAGTCAGGCACTCCGTGACTGAAACCAAGATGCTTTTTCTTGCAATCACAGAGGTCCCGACTCTGAGCTAGAACCTGGGCCTCGTGGGAAAGAGTTTGTGTGCTTTTCATCTCTGAACTTTAAGATAAAGACGTCTACAAAATGTGTAAGCTCTTCTTCAGCTTTGAAATTCCATGAATGTAAAACATTCACATTGATTACTTATCAAATAAGCAGGGATTCTCAGAATGTTTTTATTTTGGAGATGTGTTTTGTGTCACTGTTGTTTTTTGGGTGGTGCATAGGTTGCAGGAGCTAGGTAGATGACATTGAATCTATTATAGAGAAAGAAAGTAACTGTGAGAAATCCATGCTCAGTGTCCCCAATATTCCCCTGCCCCCCAAGAAATCTTTCATTGCAAAAAGGTTGATTTAGATCAACCTTCTGCCTCACCTGATACCCGTCTCAGTCAGAAAACAATTTCACTGATTTCAGTCCCCCTCTCCTTGCTGTCCAGGCCACTGGGATCACAGTGGATATGGTCTGGAATATCCTTTGGACCTTCCCCAGCATCTAACCTGACACCAGCACCACCCACCAGCTGTTCTCTTAGATCTTGTCTGATCACTGCGGTAAGATCACTTCCCTGGAGTGTCCCTGAAAGGGTCAAGGCATTGCACAACTCCAGGGGGCACTATTATTAAGTGTGGAATGTGCTCTATTAGCCACTTCCCAGAACCCAGGCATGAAGCAAACAGGCCCTTTGCCAGACAGTTAAGCCTGAATTGGGCATCTCCTTTGGGGCCAAGGGGAAGAAGAGAGACTGGTGTAGAACAGGGCACCAGCCCCACTTTACAAAGGATGATTATCAGCCCACAGTGGGTCTGTTTGGTGGCTCAATGTTGGACACACATCTGAGTCTTCCAAGTTTGGGCCCACTTGAGCACCAGCTTGGACTTGGCTTGGGCCATTTCGGTTTGGCTAGTTCCAAGTGCCAGGCATTGTTCTCCCTCTGCCCTCAGCAGAGTCTGTGAAGTCAGGACATCATCATTCTCTGACAAACATTCAGTACATTTCCCTGGGTCCCAGGAGGCCTGATATTGAAATGTTTTCCTCTCCATAGTTATATTTTCCTTGGTTGAAAGAGTTTTGTTTTGGAAGTTGCTACCCTGTCGAGGTAATGAGTCAGTTTGGGAGGCCGGTGCAGAGGGGAAAATGCACATCATTGGCAGAGGCCAGAAGGATGGGGGTGAGAGAAGATGGGAGATTCCCAGTGGGAGAGAAAGACCACACCCTCCTCCCCCTCCCACTCTTTTAGGAAGAACATGGCCCCTCCTTACCGGCCTAGGGCTTCTTCACCGGTACCAGGAGCCAGGCCCAGCTGCTGCTTTAGGACTTGATCTGGGAGAAATAGGTAAGCAGGAAAGGAGCTAACATTTATGGGTCATCTTTTGAGTACCATTTGATCTTTTACCTTACACTTTTTGTGAAAGGTAGTAGCATTATCATCCACATTTTACAGATTGAGAAACTGAGGCTCAAAGAAAGGAAAATTGCATACCCAGCATCACACAACCAGCAAGTGGCAGAACCAAGACTGGAATTTGAGTTTAATATAGGAGTCCAATACCCATCCTACCATGTGGTCTCTCTACAGAACTCACACCTACGCAGAAAAACAGACCCAAGAGACTTGGGGGAGGGATCAGAAGACCCCCATTGGAGGGACAGCTGAAATTATCTGACACAGGGCAGGGAAAGTACTGTTGGCAGAGGGGAAAGAGGATGCTTATGGACTGAGGCAACCCTTTTCCTCTCCCTCTAACCTCTCCTCAACTTTTCCATCTATACATTTTCTTCACATGGAGAGAAAAGTCATAGAGATACAAAAAACACACATAAACACACAAACACACACAGATCTCTCACTCGCACACAACACAAATACACACATCTATACAAGCACAGAGGCGCACACATCTGGAGGTAAATCTCAGGATTCAAGGGTTGGCCTCATGCCAGCCCTGAGCCCCGAGTAGCCCACTGAGGAGCCCTGGTCTGCTTCACTTTGGGAGGTCAAATCAATGAAAGAGCCCTGGTAGTTGAAAAAAGAGAAAGGGAGAAAGAAAGAACACCAGCACCTCTCATGATGGGAGGTCAGAGCGAATGAAACCAGGAGAAGGGGGTGTGGGGGCAGGGTGAGAGCAGGGGAGTGGGGAGCCTGGGGCTGGCAGCTGAATTCCTACCCTGGCCCAGCTCCAAAAGATTAAAATAGAGCTCTTAGAGTGTCCCCTCCACAGACCAGCCTGCCAGGGGCCAGACAATACGTGGGTTTGTGCTCCAGCACAGGCCTCCAGAGAGGTGATGTTTTTACCCGGACGGCTAAAGGCACAGAGGCAGGTCTAAGCAATTCCAAGCCTCCTTCGGCTGGCAGTCCTAGAACAGACCACGTCACAGAGAGAGTTGCCGGCTGCTAGGGCGCACACAGATCTGCCCTTTTCTCTTCTCACCCCAGCGCAGCCTGCTGGACTCCTACTTCTTCATTTTATCTACCCAAAACACCCAACTGGCACGGCTATGCGGGATAAGGTCTTAGCAGATTCGTTATACTCTAATTAAGAAAAAAAAAAAAAAAAAAACTCAGCATGCCTGTAAACAGACAGCCCTACCCATGAGGGATGGACAAGGTGTCCCTCGGGATTATCTGAAATGCTCAGATGAATACAAACACTTCCTTTTCTCTAACCAAGGAACAGGGCTTCCCCAGAAGGAAGCCCTGCTGGCCACTTGAGGTTACATCTTAGAATTGGGGGTTTCAGGTGACTAGGTAGGATTCAAGTCCAACATCTCCAGCCAATACATCAGCTAAGCACAGAGGCTCTGGAGTTTGCCAGACGTGGGTTCCACTCCTGACTGTCTTTTAATCGCATTTTGAACATGGGCAGGTTACTTAACCTTTCTGGGACTTAGTTTATTTATCTCTAATAGCACCTACTTATGGTCTTATGGGTTAAATGAGCAAAATGCAGAGAAAGCAGTCAAACCAATGCCTGGCATGTCACTGGCAAATGTTAGACAGAAACAAAGGTTATTCCATCCTGACAGTTTCCTTATAAAGGGAGAGAAAATAAAATTTATCAGTCAAACTTTTGACGGTGAGAGTGGGTGCTACCTGGACAGAACCCTAGGACACTGGCTTACCAGGGACCACCTGGGAAAACTGAGACATAGGATCCCCTTCCTTTATAGCCTTTTGAAGAGTTCCTATTTAACATTTCATCAAGGTAATTTCCTCTAAAATGGCCCTAAAGTTTACTCTATAGCATAAAGCCCATTAAACATCATAGTCCTTTATGGCATACCATGATATCTATAAATGAAATTCTTATTTAGCATACAATCTTATTATATGTTATAATATAATATGGTCAATCATATTATGAATAAAGGACTTAAAATTGAGAAAATTCTGCATCTTAATTTTTTTTCTGTTACTTGGAAAAAATAGATATTATTTAATTTTAATGGAAAAACCCCTTCTTTCATCTCACAGAACATTAATATTCTACAAAAGCAAAGTTAACGAATCAAGAGTAGTGCCTCGGGAAATAAGGGATGGAAGACAGCTCTCATGATCATGACAAATTTTCTTTAAGTAATTTTAATTATTCTCACATGAAGATCAAGACATAAGATGCTCAACTGTCCAACGTACCTAGCACTGAGGACACTGGACTTTCAGTTTTAAAACCAGAACAGTTCTGAGCACACCAATGAGCTTAATGAAAGAAGAAAACACCTGAAAAGTATACAAGAATTCCTTAGCACAAAGCTGCAACAAACAGCCTCAATCTATCAGAAATAATCTTTAGACCCATTACCAAAACCAGACAGCTCTCCAAAAGAAAATCCTAGTCAGCCAGGTGATTTATGGGCTTTCAAATACGGAAAATGCTTGAACAGCCTTTTACGTGTGGCTGTTTTGAAATACACTTTTACTCGTAAGCCTCTGGTTCCTTCCACTCAACCTGGCCATCCACCCTGTGGTCCCTGGATGCCACTGGAATTTGCTTTCCTGGGTCTCTGGAAGACCCTTCCAACATAAGATCTTGGTGATCTCTTTCTAACTTTATGTCTTTGTTTGTTTGTTTGTTTGCTTGCTTACTTGCTTGCTGGTTTAAAAAGAACAGCACCTTCCTCTGAAGTGTTTTGCTAGCATTAAATAAATTTAAAACACATGGGAAAGGCTGTATAGTTTACAATATAATCTTGCTCTTAATTCTCACACCCTGTAAGTTGGTCCCATTTTCCTTATGGAGTTACCAACTCTATGACAATGTAGCCAGTAGGTAGAAAAAAAAAAAAAAGAAAATTCAGATGTAGATCTTCTGACTTTAAATTCTATACCATGCCTCAATATTAAAATCCATTTATTTCATTTAACATGGAGTGATATTTAGATATGGTGAGTCCTTTCATTTCAGCTGAGTAATTCAAAACACACACAAACACACATATACACACACTCACCAACACATGTAGACCAATCTCAAAACTAGGTCCAAATAAGCTAACCCACCTCAGTCTCCACCCAGTGAACAGATAACATTTTCTTGGATTTTACTTCAGCCAAATAGTCACTTTGAAAAAGAAAGTGCTGCATAACAAAATAGAATAATGACTTCGCAAAGTAAAAGAGAAGGGAGAGAAGACAGTACATTGTTTATCACATCATTGACTAGCGTAAAAGAATGAAAAACTTGCTACCAGGTAAAATGGATATCTTGGGAAATGTATCCAACAGAAGGAGAATCACAGTAGATAAAGATATTTGTACAACATGCTTATTGCAAAGTTGCTGGCTGTGACACAACTAAATAGAGACAACCTGAGTGCCCACAAATAGTGAAACAGTTGGACAAATTCTGCTACATCTGTGGTATTATTATGAAGAATGAGTAAAAATGGTTTACATTGACATAGAAAGATCCCTATGATGGGTTGAGAGGAAGAAGGTAAGGAAGGAAGGTGGAAGAATAAATGTATTTTTATGATCCAGCCTGCTATAAGCAATTGTTGTAAGTTATATTATATGCATATGTATGTTTTACATACATATATATGTGTATATATATATGTGTATATATGTATATATATAAATGTATGTAGAAATATGAAAAGAAATTTAAGTTGTTAACTTCAGAGTTTGGGTTAGGAAAGAGAAGAGAGAAATTATTAACATTTTTACACAGTTCTGAATTATTTTATTTTTTATTTTTAAAGCATATATTATTTCTGTGATTTAAAATAATAATAAAGTAAATCAGAAAGAAAATAAACTAAGCCCAGGACTTTTCCACATCTGATTTGGGCAAAGAAAACTCAGATTCCTCCCCTTACATCTTCGGATTCATCCAAATGAACTCTTTTAATTGGCCCCAGACACTGACATCTGTGTGGGACTCAACCTCTCTTTATTCTCTACATTGGTTTTTAAAGTGGCCAGCTCTGCTGGATGTTAGGATTTTGGTTGTGAGCCAGCCACCCGCTCCCACTTCTCCTTCCACCCACTCACCCCCAAAAAGACTTTGGTTCCTGCTAAAAAGGCCAAGAATAAATCCTCTCCACCCCAGTTATTCTACCAATACATCATGCTCCCTACTCTTTTCTCCCTAACCTCCAGATGTTGGACTCTGAGATGGGTAACTGTGGGAGGCAGTGGAATCTCCCTTTCTAAAGGTCTTTGCTGAGAGAGACAGCCACATCTGTTGAGGATGGCTTGGATTTAAGTACAGTTAGAACAAGTTAGCTATGGGTGGTTTGTCATTTTTGGAGTGCTGATTACATACAGAGCCCAGTGAGACAGAGGGGCAGGAAATCAGGATCCCTGGTGGCAGAGTAAAACTGCACAGAAGAAATAAATTGGTTGCCTGACGAAGCACTATTTGATCAATGACTTGTATAGACAACTCCTAGATTACATTTTTAGGTCATATAAATCTAAGAGCATTTATGCTAGATGATAGACTATTATTCAAAATGGCCTTGACCAGCAGATGTCATTGAATAGAGATTAAAGACAATTTCCATACTTGGTCAAAGTAATCTAAGAACAAGATGAGAGAATTTTAGCTGGGCAAAGAGTTGGAAAAACAAAAAGAATTAATTTAGGTGTTTCAGTTAACAAGCTCAAGTTAAGCACAGTATAAAAAGACACTTTAAAAAAAAGTCCACTAGGGCAATCTTTAGATATTTTAACAGAAATAGATCCATTCATATAGTCATTTCGTTTGTTCATTCTTTCAATAGCAAACATTAGTTGAATACCTTCTATATGCCAGGCACTGTGCTTAGAATGTGTTAATGAGCTGTAAGAATGACATAGTACTCTTTAGTCATACTTTGAGTCTTATGTTCAATTCAGGATACTATGTTTTAGCTTCATTGTCACACTATACAAGAATAATAGGGGGATATATACCAAGTCATGCACAGAATAGTCAAAGAAATTAAAGCTGTCTAGCCAGAGGTGTTAAGGTATAACTGCAGTGAAATATCTGGAGGATTACTGTGACAATTGTTAAATAGATTTATTTTACGTAGCATCATTTAGGAGACTTGACTGTGATCATTTAAAAACATGTTTAGAAATTCTTTGATACTCTTCAAAAGATGGAGCCTAATTCCCCTTCCCTTGAATGTGGGTTGGACTTCGTGACACACTTCTGTTGACTAGAATGTGGCAGAAGTGATTATGTGTGATTTCCATGACTTGGTCATAAAAGGCATTGTGAATTCCTCCTTGCTCTTTCTCTTGGATCACTTTCTCTGGGGGAAGCCAGCTGCCATGTCATGAGGATACTCAAGCAGCCCTATGGAGAGGCCTCCTGCCAACAGCCATATGAGTGAACCATTCTGGAAGCAATCATCCAACTCCCAGTCAAGCCTCATTTGACTACAGTCCTGACCAGCATGTTGACTTCAACTTCGTGAGCTATTCTTAGCCAAAACCGACCAGTTAAGCTGCTCCTGAATTCCTGAACCTCAGAAACTGTGTGCGATAATAGATGTCTGTTGTTTTAAGCTGCTAAATTTGTAGGGTAATTTATCATTTAGCAAAAGATAGGTAATACAACGACCGAAAGATTCATCTGTGAAGGAAATCAATTTAACCTTAACAGAAAAAAAAAATTGCAAATGATAACATTTGTCTAAGAGTTGAATGGTACCACCCACAGCTGAAGCAGTGAGATCCCTATCTTCAGCCAGAAGCAGGACCACCAACTCTCAGGATTACTATAAAGGTGCTATCTACACTAGGTGCATGAGCATGAGCTTAGAACCCAATTCTTTATTTTTCATCTCATTCTTCATATTCCAATCAGACACCATTGATTTCTTAACCTTCAATATTCTCTC